CCCCTTTGCAGGCCAACTCGCCTGAATTTCCGCCTCGCCCTTCTCGACATAGAGCCTAAACGGCCCGGGTGCCTGCCGGGGTGGGCGGATGGCGAGACAACGCAGCGTTCCCGGCTCCGACACAAGCAGCAGCGTTTGCCCCACCACCACAGGCTCGTCCTCCAAGCACCGCGCCGTCACCAGCAGCAGTCCGTGGTTGTCATCGCCGTTATCGTTACTGTGGTTGTTTGTATTGCCGTTGTTGCTTTCGCTGTGAGACTGTTGTCTGGTACCTGTGGGACCTCCACCCTGCAGACGAACTACCATCGTATCCATAAACTTGCTCGACTCGGCAACACCGACAAGCAGTCCGTGTCCAACGCGCGCCACCACTCCTGAAACAGTAGCACGCAGCTGCACTTCCCCTGTGTATCCGGTCTGCCGTGCGGAGTCCGCGTGGATCACAATCGACTCCACATGAACCATGCAACGAGGCGTCGTGGTGGCGAAGTCGTGACTAGAAGACGGGGTTGTGTGGAGGCGGTGCAACACACTGCGCAGAACGACGTCATTCACAGCCTCCTTGTTTCGCAGTTGCTGCAAGGGAACTCGAATAAACACATCACTTGTTACTGGCTCTGGCGCGTACACGTGGCCACGACAGAGGTGCAGAAATGGCGGCGGCAGCACAGGATGCTTCTTAACACATTTCTTCGCGTGCTTCGGTGTGCCAGACCGCTTGACTGGATTCCCCATGCCACCGTCACTTGCTCTACTCCTGGCACCACCAACTAAAACCAAACCTTAATAAATTAAAACAAAAAAGGAGAGAAAGCAAAAAAAAAAATAAGTAATAATTGAACAGATAAATCTGCATCCCCCTCGCTTGCTCGTTGCTTTCTGATTGGTGGCTCCGCCTCACAGTCCTCTTAAGCACCCTTTGGAGGGGGGGGAGATGTACCATGCACCCATACGCACACACACACACACACACACACACCCGTGCCCCATAGCAATGTTGTCTGCATGCAAACTAAACTACATATATATATATATATATGCGAATATGGTAAATGCAGGCGGAACACAAAACAGAAGGTGATGTTTCTACACACCCAAGATACTCAACAAATAATAATAATAATAATCGCAAAATTTCCCTTTTGTATCCACCTTGCAGGCTCCTCAAGCATTTCGCCCATCGATGTTCGGGTTAGGCAGGTGGGCGACGCTTAACTTCACTGTTTTCCGTCGTTGCCTCTCTTGTTGTTGCCTGCCTCTCCTCCGTACCCACACACTCGTGCATACTACACCTACGCTACACACAGAGAGCAAGAGCAAGAGCAAGAGCAAGAGCATGAGGGAAATCGAGAAAGAAAGAGGGGAAAAAAGACATTTAGTGGTCGGGCCTGTCCCTACCGGCGCTGCGGAGCCCCATCAGTCCCTGTGGGGTGACCTGCCACGAGCGCAGTTCCCGGCTGTAGTAGTCCCGTGTCAGCGGGTCCCAAAACATGTCCAACTCAAAGCTGTAGAAGAGGTCACTCCTGTCGTCGTACACCCAGTCATTGGCGCCTTCGATGGTGATGTTAAACTCATCAGCAGTGAGGTAGACCGGCCCCCCTGGCTCCCTAATTATTGGCCGCAGCAGGCGATTCACTGGACTCAGTTTCTCACTCGTACTCGTTGGCCTGCACCCCCTGCGACACCGCTCCTCGTACTTCTGGTCTGTCTGGGCGCGGAGTGAGTGGGGGTACGACCACAGACAGAAGGATGTGATGCAGGCGCAGAAATTAAAGCAGATAGACGCAATGTAGACTTCAAACCCCCAATCGTACCCAACGCGACAGCCCGACGAGGAGTCTTGCATCGTCTTGCACAACTGCCGCTCACAGCGTGTGTAAAAGTGAAACAACACGCAGATCGCCACGCCGCACGGCAACGCCGTGAAAAGTAAACACATCACCACAAGGGAGCTGTGCGAGCGTGTGGGGCGGTTCGCTATCCGCAACGCCACAATCTTCCCCAACAAAATACATAAAAACTGTACTAAGCCGAGCAACCACATGGCACTGACGTATGCACGCACAAACGCGCGTGACGCCTCGCACACAATCTCTCCCGTAATTTTGTCCCGCAACACACGCGGATACCACGAGATACCCCGCCGCATGCACAACCCTGACACACCATCCCGGCAGGAGAAGAACAGCCCAATGGACTCGTAGTGAAAATTGTTCAACACCACAATCCACTCCGTCGACCCCACCCCAATGGCCATACAAAACACGGAGGGGACAAGCAAGCAAAGAAGAAAAATAACGAAACGATTGAATGCGTTAATCCTATCATACTTCAACTCCTTGTACAACACTATCTTCTCTACCGCGGAGCGATCGCGCCGCAATTCACCATCAAGGCGCATTGTCGTGTTCCCAAGTCGGTTCGGAATATACACCTCCGATGGAACAAGAGAGGGCACATAACCATGCGTCAAAGAAGCTTGCATGCTAAGGTTGGTGTGGCTGCTGGCATCCTCCACTTGTTCTGCAGGCTCGCAAGGTGCCTCATTATCACCATGTGACATCTGCGAAGAGAAATATGACCTTAAAAAAAAAAAAAAGTAGAAAGGAAAATGAAAAAAGTGGCGCAACATTTGTCAGTAACGCGCGCACATACAGAAAAGATCCAAGACGCACGCCCCACATCACTCGCCACGTAAGGTCAAGAACTACAACAACAAAAAAAAAAGGAGGAAGAGAAAGGTGCTGCCGCCATCGCCCCATCATTGTTCCTCAGCACGCATTCCCAATAAACGAATGGCTAAGAAGTCAAAGGCCTGGCTCACGATCGAGCGCGGCACGAGGCCCGTCGTAGTCAATGTCAGTCCGGCGAGTTCTGTATGTCGCGGCGGAATCTGAATGGCGTTGCTGTCTGTGCAAAGAAGCTGTAGCAGCAACGGGCCCCCGTCGCGGTCATCCCACAGATAAAAAAAAATCTTTGTGGCCTCCGCCCGCTCCTCTGTGCTCATTCTGTGCGCCGCCGCCGCCGCCGCCGTCAGCCCCGATTGCGGATCATCCGTTGCCCACGACGACAAACAGCAGAGTGTCTCGTGGAGAAGGTAAAACAAATGTCTGGCAACGACACGAAGTGTATTAAATGTGACAGTCCCGTCGGGAGCTGAAACCCCAACGGAGACTTTGCCCGAGTCCAGGACCCAATGAGCCGCATCAACAACGCCTCGAAGCGCCTGAAGTAGCAAAAGAAGAAGCGCAACAACGGCCGACGTAGCCTCCTCTGCTGAAACGCAGCCCCCTCCTATTTTTCTTAGGCGGTCGTGAATCCAGTCTGGTGAAAGCTGCAGAAGATACTCCGGCACAATATGCCGCACATCCGCGGCACCACCGCAGCTTGTTGGATCAATTCCCAAGGAAAAGAGCATGGCGTCAGAAGGATGGTGCGCGCCACCTCCAACAGGACACAGCGGAAGAGCACCCATCTCATGATTCTGCTGCGATGAGGGAAAACACGGCCTCCATGTCGTTGATGGGAAGCCACAATTCACGGAAGATGGGGGATCATTCAGGCACAAGCGCACACCGTCCAATGTCTTTGAAGCCATCTCTTCCACGCCCATCCCTTCTGTATCAGAGGGGCACAGTGGTGAAGAGATCGTTGCTGTTGTGATGATGGCGCCTCCGTTTACCGCCGTTAACAGGCTTCGCTCACGAGGAAAGAAGCATCCCCGCAGCGCCTCCGCTTCCTCAGTGAGAGCCTTCACGTTGGATTCATGTAGCCTGAACCATTCCCGCTGACGTGACACGTTGGCGTAGATGCGATAAAGCTGCAACTTCAGCTGCGCCGTAAGTGAAGCCTCGTGTGCCCGCAGGTGAGGCGCCTGCATTGTTTCATCGCCTGTGCGTTCGCCTTGCTGCACCGTGCAACGACGCGAGGGCCGCATCCACACGCCTGAAAGGTGTGAAAAGAAACAAAAAAGAAATACATTTTAAAAGAAGAAGGAAGTAGAGGAGGGAGACGGATTACGGCAAGCACCTCACCGGCGAAGTGCAGTGGCAGCAAGCGGTGGGCGTCGTTTCGTGCGGGAAAGAGGAGAGAAAACAAAAACAAAAAATCATTAAGAATGCCCGCGAGTTGCTTTCACACCTATTTCCCGCGCAGGCGGGACATCACACATCCTGCAAGAGCGGCCCATAAAAATGTTCATGCCTCTCTCTCTCTCTCTCAAAGAACCGCAGAGACGCCTGTGTTCCCGACATTCCTCCGCACCCACGCGAGGGGCAACATCAGCGCACCACGACTACGCACACAAGAGCGACTACAAAAAAAAAAAAAACATTAACACGGAGAAACTGAGAGCAACACGCCAAAAAAAACAAAAAAAAAAGGAATTTAAATAAGAAGGGAAAACAAATAATAATAATAATATTCAATAAAATATGAGGCCTGTAAAAGTGCGAGAAACATAACACACACACACACACTACCCCCCCCCCCCTCATCAAACTCGGCACTTTCATTCTCTTCCGCCTCCTTTCATTTCTCCATTCAAGCTAACCGCCCAATACACTTGAGTTTTGTTTTTATTCTTGTTTTTGTTTCTATTGTTTTTGTTGATTTTTGTTGTTGTTTTTTGTTTTGCTTTGCTTTTATTATGCTTCCCGTTTGACCCCAACAATTGACTCTAAGTCACTCCCACGCCTTCTTTGGGAAAGTTGCATGCGGATACTTTGCCTTCCACATTCCCTCGTTCACCTGCGAGTAGTCCCAGTTCTTGGCGCATTCCTTCGCCCACCACACGCGGCGCATCATGGACGTCTCCTTGTTGCTTGCAACATTCGTGTAGATGATCGAAGAGAGCGCGGAGCCGATGCAAAACCCCAGAATCGTGAACCCAGCAAAGGTGCTGAACAGGACAAGCCTTGTGTTGCGGCGTGAGATGATGTACATGCTCCCAAGTGCCGTGGAAAGAGTGGCAGTTGTAAGCGCAAACGTGAGCTGTTTGCGCCGCACATACCACTGCCTACCCCAGACACCGCCCTCCTTTTCAAATCGCAAAAAGTCGCTGGGATACATCATTGGAAGATCCGCCACGAGAATCTTACCATCGTTGCCTGCCATTCTTTTGAGTTGCCTCCCTACACCGCGTCGTGGTGGTATTAACACTAACACCAATAATATATGTTATCTAAATCTCAAGCGTTCACGCAGAAAGATGCAAACGCAGCTTGTAGTATAGTCAAATCTCCCTTTATTTGCAGTTCTCGATGGTGTGTGAGGGGTAGGTGTAAAAACACAGCAACCCATCCGTTGTTGTTGTTAATGAAGGTGACGCAAGGAAAAAAAAGAAAAAAAAAGACCACGCATTGTGCATTAAAGGCAATAAAAAATACAGTCCCCGCTCCCCTCCCCTCCCCTCCCCGCACACACACGTACAGTCGGGATTACACGCGCGCACACGTCCACCGGACAAAGATATAAAAGGCTCCAACGGACCTCATCGCGTTATTTTGATCTTGTAAGAACACGTAAACACGCATATTAAGTGCTGCAACTTCATCTCACACTCTCCAATCTCACTGCCCCGCCGTGGGTCTGAGAGCGAACCAACCAAAGCTACCCCTCCTGCTTCCCTTTTCCCATCCATTCCTCTCTGAGCATGACAAGGGGGGTGGGGGTGGGGGGGGGAGGGGGCACGCGGCCAATCCAGCCACACCCAGAGACACATCACGAGGGCGAATGTGAGAGTGTGAAATGCGCAGCCGCTAGCACGTAAACACTTTTTTGCTTCGCTTAAAAAATGATGCCTCATTTTACTTCCCTACCTTTCTTGGACCGTAATAAAACGTAATTTATTCACACTTTCGCATACATACAGATACGCCGCCGCACAGTTTATTCCTTGTGTGTTGCGTACTGTCACTCAATCCTCATAAAAGTGTATTCCTTTATTTCCTCGCTTCCCTTGTAATTTAGATTTTCTCGTGTCTTTCCCTCTATCTCGCTCTCTCTTTCTCTTCTGTTCGTTAGGGTTTTATTTGTTTACTTATCTACGTCCTCCTCACACCATCACATCAATGCAGAGGAGGGAAGTCTCAATTTCATTCCGGTATTTGTCTCTCCAGTGTTTGTTTGTCATTAATTTATTTGCTTCGCCTTCATTGAGGGGGGAAGGCCAATGCGTTTGTGCCCCCGTGCGCCGTGGGCGTTGTCTTCACCCGGTTACCAGCACCCATCCAGAGATGCATACCAAGCAAAGAACAAGGCAGCGGCAAACACGATATGCAAAGCGCCCAAGAGGTTGGAAGCCACAGAAACGGAGACAGCCACAAGAAAGCTGATGCCTGGACAAATCCAAGACGACACACTCTCACCCGCTTCCCCTGTCCCGTGTCTTTCGTAGTTATCGCCCATTCCCACCCCAATGACAATAGTGACCCCGCCCTCCGCTGCGCCACTGTGTGCATGTACCTCCCCTCAGTCCTCTTTTCTTTGTTGTTGCTGTTGGCTGCAACCCCCATATGCCTCACACACAACACACAGTTGGGGGAGAGCGCGGGAGCCACGACGACAGACTTTTTCGTCGACAGTCTGACACGCTCCCGGTGGCAACTTCAGGCGTCACACAAAATATTCCTCTTTCTTATTGTTTGTTGTTGTTGTTTTTTTTTTCCGTTTCTGTTTATTGGTTTGTTGTTGTTGGTTTTTCGCCGTTCTGGGGATTGTTACGGGCTTTCTTTTTTTATTATGCTTTTCCTCGTTTGTTTTCACGTTGGTTCTTTCCCCCTTCTTCCGTTTCTCTCTATCCTCGTTCTCCACCATCCCCCCTATGTCGTGTCCGTTATTTCCTGCCGCTTACTTTTCCTTCAAGCCCACCACACCTTGAAGTAAGGTGTTTCTCTCCTCCTCATGTGTGTGTGTATGCGTTCGGACCCGTTCCTTTTCGCATGTTATCATGCTGCTCTAATAGCGGCGGCGCGCTGGACTGCGGCTGCGGTCCCGCTCGCGGTCACGTTCACGAGCAAAGCGCTTCGGGCTCCGGCTCCGGCTTCGACTGTGACTGTGACGGCGACGATGCCGTTCGTATGAGTCCGAGCGAGATCGAGGACGGCGGCGATCCTCCCGTTTTTCGACGTCCCGTCGTTCATTGAAGTCTCGCCTCTCACTGACGTCTTGCCTGTCATTAAACTCTCGCCGATCGTTGTAGTCACGCCGGTCGTTAAAATCCCGCCGGTCGTTGAAGCCCCGTCGGTCATTTAAGTCGCGCCGCTCGTTGAAGCCTCGTCGGTCATTGAAGTCGCGCCGGTCGTTAAAATCCCGCCGGTCGTTGAAGCCCCGTCGGTCGTTGAAGTCGCGCCTGTCGTTGTAGTTGCGGCGGTTATCACGCAGGGTAGAACGGTACATGGAGTCAACAGCACGGCACTGCAGCGCCACGTGGCCCTCCCTGTCACATTTGAAGCAGCGCTGGCGCTGGCGTCGCTCAATCTCGACGCGGCTGCCGTTTAGCTCCGAGCCAGTCAGCCGAAGCGCCGCCCCACAAGACTCCTCGTTGGGAAAGCCAATAAACGCAAAGTGCTTCTTGTCGTGGATGAAGACGTCGACAGGTTCCCCAGCGGAGGCAAAGAAAGCGCGAAGCTCCTCCTCTGTTGTGTTTGGCGGCAATCCCTTCACCACTACTTTCGTCTGCAACACGTTCTCACGTGGGGCTGTGCGTTTCTTCTCCACCTCAATGGCCACACCGTTCAGCTCACGACCTGTCATCTGCAGGGCAGCTTCAAGGGAGTCGGTGTTGTCAAAGCCGACAAAGGCGTAGCGGCGCCGTGGCTCTAGAAAGAGGTCGGCGATGGTTCCCAGCGGCTCAAAAAGCTCACGGAGCTGCTGTTCGGTGGTGTCCTCTGCGATGTGGCGGACGGCAATCTTGAATTCCTCACGGAAACGCTTGCGGTTATCGCGTGGCATTGAATCCCTCCCTTCGGCCCTCTCTGCCTCAGTCGCACCATTTTTGTGGTTGTCCTCCGCGTCGTTGTCCTCACGCCCAGGCTGCTGCCCCGCCGCATGGTTCTGTTCCTTCTTTGTCACTTGAATGGCGGCACCGTTTTCAAATTCCATACCATCCATGTTCAGAGCCTCGTTAAAGTCATCTTCCTTCTCAAACGACAGCGTCGCGGCGTTATTCTCCAGCGTGCATCGCGCCACATCGCCCACACGGCTAAAAAAGTCGCGCACAGCCTCCTCGTTCGTGTCCTCTGGAAGACCACGTACCTGAATCGTATATGGCATCGCCGCTTTATCTTGCCTAACTGTAATGTTTTTTGTTTTTTTTCAGCTCACGCCTTATGTGCGTAAAAGTAAACCAACAGCTGCGTTCGCCTGTCGAACCTGATCGCAATCTGTTCCTCCTATAGAGCCTCGCTGTAGTCTTCCCACACACCGTTTCTTCCCGCTTATTTGGCGTTATCTTCTCTTATGCTCCTTTATTTTCCTTCACCTATGTAGTGTCTGACTCCCGTGCACGCCCCACCAAAATTAGTAGTGTGTGACTAAGTGTCTCCCTTCTTACTTGTTGCAGTCGGTGGAGCGAGTGCTGCCGGTCCCCAAATACCGTTGCTCTTTACTGTAGGATCTGTTGTTTCACCATAAGGAAGGAGTTCCAAGGCAAGAACCAGGTTGGCAAATGTAATGGAGCAGATGTGTGGTTGTTGTCGTGGTTGTCATCAGCCCCGGGCGGCGAGCAGCAGAGAAAGGCGAAAAAAAAAAGCTGGCAGCGTCACGTCGCAAGTCCCCCTTCCCCATTTCCCCCCCGCACACACCCCGACGCTGGGTTCCCCGGCGCCACGCATGTGACTCCAATCCCACCGTTCACGCCTTCGCAGCTCGACTGACAAATGCCTCGCGCAACCGCGTTTCCTCCCCACGCGCATTCACTGAAAAAGACAACTGCGTAAGTGCGTGCTGCTCCCTTTGCAGCCCCGCACACCCCCACCGACCCCCAGCACACGACACGGCGAGTAGAGGCACAAAATGATGGGCGTCCGCCATAGCCCGATCCATGTTTTTCTCTGAGTTCGCATTCGTCTGCACACCAACCCTCCTCCCCAGTTGCCGCTGAGGGAGACAGGCAAAATGAACGCACAAAACTCCAAAAACAAAATAATCCATTATTCGCATCTAACGTTATCTCTCACATCTCACAGATTAAGTTGTCCTCTCAGAATTTAGCGGTTAGACGCCAAGGATAGTTAAAGCAAAAAAAAAAAATTTTTCCCACCTACTTAAAAGAAGGGTTCCGCCGACACCTAACAACATCGCACCCCCCCCCCTCCCTCATGTGCACAGTTTACACACATCGCTGTACGCCTAGGCGCATCCGCTACTACCCCATATAGGAAAAGGGCAAATCCATACATTCACATTCATGTGACTATATCTTGCCCCAAAGGATAGAGGAGAGGGGAAAAAAAAATCGAGAACTCCAGAAATGTTATCGCTCGTGTCGTTTATCGGATTTCATTCGGGTGCACACTATCGACCTGTATATGCCAAGCAAATGAAAAATTCCAAGGTATAGCAACTAACATATCACGAATTGCCACTATCACCACCATCACTAGCGATCTTTGGCTTTCTGTCTCATTGCTGTCCTTGTGACCTACGTCCATCTACCATGTAGACCGAGATGGAGGCAAATACCAAATTGGAAAAGCACTATTACTTGCACCGCCGACGCAAAGCTATAAGAAATGGCTCGTCAAGCTGTTCACTGAACAAACGATGGTGCTCGTTCCATGGCCAGAGGCGACTGGCCCAATAATATAACAATGACCAGAAGTCTGGATGGAACACGGTAAATATCTCCTCAAACTCACCGCGTTGACGGTGCATTTCACGCTGGGAGTATCTCACCAATAGGTAGTCCAGCCCATCACCATTGTACACACCGTGCTCCTCATCAAACAGCGTAGGATCCTTAGTGTAACACAGCCCCACTCCTCGCAGCTGCGTGTTAGTGAAGGCAAACGGAATTATACTCACGTTGTCGCCAAACACAGCAGCCTCCCCATTGTTTCTATACAGGTTCAGATAGTCGTACTCACTCCACCGATTGAGTGAAGTAGCTCGCCGCTCAGTTACCTTTAGAATCGCCACGAATGGAAGGCAAAGCAAAGAAAAAAGTCTATCTCCGACAGAATAGGAAGTTAATGAGAGGCACCCCACCTTATCACTCGCACGCCCTGGAGGAAGCACACGATGCGCCTTCTGAAACCGATTGATGCCCGACATGGCAGCGTAAGCGTCAATAAATACCGTGAGTGAAACCGTGCTGTTGGCGCGACTCTTGTGTACTCGGTTAATGCAGGAAGAGCTGTCACGAATATCCGAATCAATGACATGATGCAACTTTGCCAACGCTTGGCCGCCGGGATAATGCTGCATGCTGACACCCACCGACAGCACAAAAGCCGCGAGCTGCAGCAAAAACACACACCCCAACACAACCGCAAGAGAGTACTTCATTCGCCCACAGCGACCATCAACGCGTGTACAATGTTGGCTGTTCGTAGTAGGGACCGCCGGCCGTTGCGCCGCAGGCACTCCCTTCCTACCCGTCAACTTGGTCGAAGCAGCTTCTTGCGCCCCAACGCACGCATTCCATGTGAGTGCGATGGCGTAGGCCATGGGCGCTAAAAAGGCTGGGAACACTTCCATAATAAATCGCAGCTCCTTGTGCGGCAGGAAGCTGTACAACACAACGAAGAGCGTTGCAGGAAGAAGCAGGGACTGGAACCGCACGCTCGTGTCCAGCCAAATTGAAAATAACGTCCCAACTGGAGAGGGTGACGGGGGCGTACGATGCATCAGCCACCGGCCCAGATCCCAGCACGCCAAGCCCACCAACAACAGAAGCGGAAAAAACGCAAACAAAAAGGCCCGCGGTAGAGCGTAAGTAAAGTACCAGTGCCACGGTGATCGTCCCCAACGCCAAGATTGATTTTTAACCGTGTTAAAAAACAACACAACGCCCTCAGGCCACACCCAATCGCCCCAGAGGAAACTGTCCAAAACAACGCTGCAGCAAACTGCGATCACCATGGAGAAAAGACTGACCGCTACAAGTTGAAAAATACCCATCTCACGTCGTAACAACAAAAAGAGTCCCAATGACCCAAGCAGCAAAACGGTATCGCAGCGAAAGACAGCCGTACAGACACTTAGTAGCACAATGGAAAGACGGTACCTCCCACGCACTATGCATCCGAACGCCAAACTGCATAAAATGAGTCCGTTGGTGTTTGGCAACGTGCGCGTTGCATAAAACACCATGTGGAACTGCAGGTTACATAAAACAAAAAATGCAGAGGCAGCACGAAAACGCCTCCACCCCGAATTTTTAGTGAGCTTTACAAATTTCCTCTCGTTCACATCGATGCCACTCGCAATGTACCACAGCGCACCGCAAACCATAAACCCCATGACAAGCCGGCACGCATGAGAGAAAAACATAGGGCTCTGCAGTGCAGACACCTCCACGAAAGGCAGCAGCACCACGCTTCTCGCACCCATCATACCCCTCATCAGACCTAGAAGGACACCGAGATATTTGGCAACCGTACCTATAGACTTCATGACAAGTACGCAAAACAACGCTGTCACGGCAACAATATATGACCCATAGAACGTTCGCGGAACCACCCCCGGAAACATAAGATGATCTCCACAGGCCGTGGTTGAGCAAAAAATAAAGTCGTGCATGGCCTGCATGCCAAAGCTTTCTTCCACTTTTGTATACGGGCACAGCAGCTCGCATACTGTCACAGAAATGCATAAAACCAAAAAGCAAAGCCACGATTGAAACTCCATAGTAATGCCTGGAACCTATCCAACAGCTGTAAAAACTAAAAAAAGAAAAAGAAATCCTTGACGCAATAAAACAAATGCACGCACGTACAAACACATGCAAACGAAAACACGCATCAAAAGCTAGATACTGCCTTTAGAGAATTTTCCATCACAATATCCACTGCTACGTCGGTATCCGTCCTTTCAGTTGTTGTTGTTGTTGTTGCGTGGGTTGTGTCTTCCATCTGCGGTGGCACAAGGCAAAGTGAAACACAGAAGGACAGAGGAACTCCCTCCGCGGCGATCCCATTGGCTGCAGTCACTGTGCTGCACAAAAAGCAAACGCAGAACCGGCCAAACCAGCGACAAAGCACCACAGGCGGCGTCCACGCCGCAGCGCCTTCCGTCGCCCAAGAAACACGACGTCCCCGGGCAATCACCTTACAGCGGAACGTCTGGTTCCGCTACT